AGAGGACCGAGTCTTTCAGAAACTCTTGGGTCATTGATCTTCGAGCTTATATGGATGGGATTCTCTCGATGTTGCTTTAGGAAGTCTCGACAATCGCGATAGACGACTTTTGATCCTTCCACTCCTTCTGTGAGGAGGTGTTTTCCTCTACTCCTTCTGCTTCGGGTTGAAGCAGCTGGGTTGAGAGAAGTCTCATGTTGATTATCACATTGATGTGTAGCTCGATCCCTATCAGGGATGTCCGTGTTGGATATCGGTGACCCTCCGTGTTGGGGGGCATTCAGATGATTGTTGACCTCAGCAGGGGCGACGAGCTTATGTGCTTGAGCATGCCTAGCCTCGTGAAGCATCTCGAAAAGTTTTTCATACTGCTCCTGGATGACCTCGTTCCTCATCACTATCTTGTTGTTCTGAGCTTCTAACTCATCGACTTTAGCTTGAAGAGTAACTTTATTTCCTTCCTGCTTTTGTTGCTTCATACTAGGTCCAATGGGGGTGTCATTTTGTGTGCTATGGCTTCTTTCACTCCCCATGTTGGAGAGAGATGTTTGGCCAAAAGAAAGTGTACGAGTGGTGGAAACCAGCTTAACAAAGCTGAAGAGAGTGTGAGTAAGTGTCTTTCCCACAGACGGCGCCAAATGTTGATGCAAAAAATCAGTGAGGACTTTGGTACAACAGAAAGTGTCAGGTTTGTGACATTCGCTTGGTTGCTTCGATCACTAGTGAAGATAAGTACATAAATGAATAGGGAAAGGGAAGCAAACACAAGATGTACGTGGTTCACCTAGATCGGCTACATCCACGGAGTAGAGGAGTTCTCATTAATTGTGAAGGGTTTACACAAATACATAGGTTCAAGCTCTCATTTTGTGAGTTCTAGTGAATAGTTTAGTACAAAATGACATTAGAGATTATTGTGGGAGAATGATCCCTATTTATAGAAGAGAGTTTCTAGTTTTGTTCTAACATTGACACGTGTCGTGTTGTGATTGGATTCTGATGTTGACACGTGTCGCGCTGTGATTGGCTTCTGATGTCGACACGTGTCGCATTGTGATTGGCCTCCTGGTTGAAGGGAAGCTCTTCTGGGTCCTTAACAGTATAACGTCGACCGGTGCTCAGTAGTTTCAGGATTGGTCAAGTATGGTACAAACAACAAGTATGGCCATAAAATTGGACATGGCTAAGGCCTACGATCGCGTAGAATGGGATTTCCTCATTAGCATGGTGGAAAAAATGAATTTCGCGCCACTGTTCTGTAGGTGGATAAAGGAATGTATCTCTACTATTTCTTTCAGCATTATTGTTAATGAAACCTCAACGGGATACATCTTGCCGAATAGGAGGTTGAGACAAGGAGACCCGCTATCTCCCTTATTGTTTCTTCTCTGTACCGAAGGGTTTTCCATGTTGATCAGGAAGGGTTTGGAGCAAGGTGCCCTCCACAGTTTCAAGATGACGCCAAATGGGATCCCGATTACGCATCTTTTCTTTGCGGATGATTCTGTGCTGTTTGGCAATGCCACGGTGGATGAGGCGAAAGAAGTAGTAGAAGTTTTGATAGTTTATGCACGACGATCTGGCCAGGAAATTAACATGTCTAAGAGTTCAATTTTCTTTGGGTCAAAGACCTCGAAACGAAATAAGGAGAAAATTGAGGAAACCTTGGGGATTCAATGCAAGTAGAGATTCGGGAAGTATTTAGGGCTGCAGACAGATTTTAGGCATTCCAAAAAAGCTGTATTTGCGGAAGTTTGGGATAAGATTGAAGCTCGATTGGCGGGTTTGGCTAAGCAGTTTTTGTCCCAAGCAGGGAAAGAGGTCATTGTCAAAGCGGTGGCCATGGTTTTGCCGAATTATGCCATGAGCTGTTTTAAGCTACCCATTGGGGTGTGTATGGATGTTGAGAAAGCTATTCGAAACTATTGGTGGAGAGGTAATGAGCAACGCAAAGGAGTCCACTGGATTTCCTAGGATAGGCTAATAAAACAAAAAAAGTCTGGAGGTTTGGGATTCAAGGATATCTAGTGTTTCAATCTAGCTTTCCTACCAAGATTGGGTAGCAGCTGACCCAAAATCCGATGTCGTTTCTAGCAATAGTGTTGAGAGATAAATATTATCCTGGGAAAACCTTTAGGGAAGCTGGTAGGGGAAAGAACACGTCATGAGGTTGGAAGGAAATTTTTGAAGCTCGAAAGGTGCTGCAGCAAGGGTTAAGGTGGGGGGTGGGAAATGGAGCTTGCAAAAATATTAGGGAGGATCCGTGGTTCCCTAAACTTTCGACGTTTAAAGTTAGACCGAGAGAATGCTTAGAAGGAACTATGGTTGGTGATTTAATTGATTCGGCCTCAAATTCTTGGAAGGTTGATCTGATCTCGGCTGGCTTTAATCGGGATGATGTGGCTTCGATTTTAAGAATTCCTTTAAGCCACTCTAGCTGTTGTGATAGATTAGTGTGGCATCACACCGTGAATGGGGAATATTCTATTAAATCTAGCTACGGGGTGGCTGTGAATCTCATTGAAAATGGTGCACTGGGAAGGAAAGGTCGGGGTGCCCCTAGTAAGTATCATAAGCAAAACCATGTATGGAATCAGATTTGGAGTTTGCAAGTCCTTAACAAAATCAAAATCTTCATTTGGTGATGTTGCAACAATGCCTTAGCTGTTAGACGTAACCTTAAGAGACGTCATATGAAGGTTGATAATGTGTATGGTGTTTGTAATACGTTTGATGAAATGGAAAACCACCTGTTCTTTCGGTGTAAATTCAATCACTTATTTTGGTTCAGTTATTCGCTTCATTTGAACTCTCATGAACTGGAAAGGGCTGACTTCTTAGAAAGTTGGGGAAAGTTTTGTAATCAGGTCAAAGAGAAGGATAATGCCGATGAGATTTGTCAAGAATTTGTCTTTGGTCTGTGGAGGCTCTAGAAAAATAGGAACGAGGTTGTGTTTAATGGGATGCATCGTTTGTTGGAATTTTTGGATCGCCGGGCCCGCCCCACTCTAACGACACTGATACTGTCCCCACTTAATCACCTGCCCAATCCTCAGGTGTGGGGTTTTACCACAAAAGGTCTCAATATTAGTTAAAGTGGGGTAATACTATTTAAACCCCTTTGGTTTTCTTCACCTCACCGATGTGGGACAGTTTTAACATTCCCCCTCACGTGTAACCTCATTTAGTGGTTCACACGTGGAGATTCACATCATTAATTGAAACTCAGAGGTCGGCTCACATTAGGCCCACTTGTTTTCAATTGGAACTCAGCGGTCGTCTATATGTTAAGAGTTCAGACTTGTTTCCTTCTTGGTAACAAGCTCATTGGCTTGCACGGGCCCGCAACCGTGGGCTCTGATACCATGTTGGAATTTTTGGATCGCCGGGCCCGCCCCACTCTAACGACACCAATACTGTCCCCACTTAATCACCTGCCCAATCCTCAGGTGTGGGGTTTTACCACAAAAGGTCTCGGTATTAGTTAAAGTGGGGTAATACTATTTAAACCCATTTGGTTTTCTTCACCTCACCGATGTGGGACAATTTTAACATCATCAGCCTCTGGAGGTCTTGGAGGCTTGGAGGAAAAGTATCTCTGAGTTTAGAGATGCTCTGTCACAGGGTCTTACTGACGATTGCCCAAAGAGGACGCTGACTTTAAAAGTTGCGGAGCGACCGATTGTTCAATGGCAGAAACTGAGGTACATCATTATTAAGATCAATAGTGATGTGGCTTGGTGCAAGAACACAATGCGTGCAAGTGTGGGTTGGCTGGGGCGTGATTCGCCTTATCGAATCTGATGCTAAGACGATAATTCAAATGCTCAGGAAGGAAGTGTCTCATGACTTAAGTATCGAATGTGTTCTTGGCGACATCGAGCTTTTAGTGTGAAGGTTGACGTAAGTGACGTTCGCGTTTGTGCCTAGGGAGAGCAATTGTGCTGCTCACTCGGTGTCTAAGTATGTGTTTAAGGAGGGTCAAGCTTTTACTTGGGATTGGATTGGCCCGGAATTTTTGTTCAATTTCTTAGCTCATGATGTAAACATTTCTATTCATTTTTAATATATTTCTATTTTGGAAAAAAAAAATTGCATATTATTGTACCAGTAAAACCTGAAAACCGATGAAGAGAAGCAGCATCGTCCCATGTACCCCCATGGGCATATTATTGTTAAATTAATGTTTTTCTATTGTTAGTCATCATTGTGTTTTCTCCACTATGTATAGTGGAAAATGACAGCTCCTTTCCCTTCGTCCGACATCTCTCAGCTATCAAAGTACATAGTGTTTTGAGAGAGAGAGAGAAAGAGAGAGAGCTTCTCATTCACGACTTGAGGGGCTTGGTTGGGCACCAAGAAAAGAAAAGTGACCAACCGCTACCTCCAAGTGCGTTTCTTTATTATTGCATACCGCTTTCCTCACGTTTTCACCACGCGTTTCTTTATTATTTCATTCTGCTCTCCTCACGTTTTCACCGCGCTCCAAGCCTCCCACAATGATACAAACCATTTACTTGGGACAAATTTTAAAAACTTTTTGTTTTCTCATCTTTTCTTTAATCTCATAAAAAATACAAGTATATAACGAAAATAACAACCCTCATTTTTCAGTATATACTATATTAGTACATGTTAGTTCATTTGATATTGTCTTCATTTTTTTATAATTTCTAGAAAAAATAAGAACAAACACTACAAAATCAATGCTAAGAATGTAGTCCTTCACTATTGGAGTTTGCCTAAATATTTGGAATTGTCTTTTTGACCACAAGTGACAAATTAACTTGTTAGCATGTTGTATGTTTATTATTAGTCTACACGTGTTCTTAGGAAATTCAGCAGAGACCTATAACCTATTTGTGTCGTGAGCAATGATCCCTGTAATAACTAGTTTTTAGCAAAATACGTGCTTACATTTACTAAATTTTGGACATTTAATTTAAGGTGATGCACCATTATTTTGTGTTTTAGCCTTATCGAACATTGTTTTGTTGCAGGCAGAGATAGCTAGACAAGAAGCAAGGTCGAAAATAGAGAAGAATGAAACACCCCAACCTCATTTATTTAAAAATTGTTTTAAAGCCTTAATTGGTGAGCCCGTGGGGCCCACCTTGTTTTATTTTTATGTTTTCTGATCTCTCTCTCTTCTTCTTCTTCGTCTCTCCCTCCCGTAGCTCTCTCAACTCTCCCGTATCCCTCTCCCTCAACCTCTCACATCTCTCTCTCTCTCTCCCCCTGGACTCACTTGGACCTTAGCACCATCAGGAGAGACTCGCCACAAACCAGGGACCCCTGCCTTATGAACCTTTTCTTCTTTTCCGTTGGGGTAAGTCTCGAATCCCTCATTCTCGTACCTAGCATAATGCTTGGTTATGTAGGATTTGCGTAGGATTTGCCGGGATTTAGAAGCTTGAACCTTCCATTTTTACGTAGGATTTGCTTCGGAATCGTTGGGGTGAGCACACCCGTTTTCCGGCGAACCGTGGACTTTGGAAGCTTTTTCCGGTCACCTCCGACCGAGTCACGGTCTTTGGAAGGTAGAAACCTCTTCCTCTCTCCCTATTCTTCATGGTTGTACTTAGATCGGAGCCCAAAACCCATGTTTCCGGTGACCGGAGCTGTAGCAGCTCCTGCCTTCTTCTTCCTCGGCACCAGGCCATCCGGCCTTCCCCTTTCCCCCTCGGGCCTTAAGCCCGTTAGACCCCATCCCATTTCTTTTATTTTTGTTAGTTTATTTTAAAACCCCAAAAAAGGGCCTTGGGCCGGTGACATTTAAAAGGGCTTAAAGCCCTGTTTTTTTAGTGAGGCCTTAGGGCCTTTGTGACCCCGTGTGTGTGTGTTTATGTTGGTGTGTGGGTGTGTGCGTTTAGTGTGTGTGCGTGTGTGTATATGCATGCCATGCATGCATGTGCATGTCGTGCATGTGTGTGTGTGTTAGTGGTATGTATATGTTTGGGCTTAAGCCCAAACCCTATTTCCTTAATCCTAAACCATTTTTAACCCAAAAACCTTAGGTTCCTAAAACCCATTAAAACCCTAAACCCATCCAACCCCAAATCCCCTATTTTATTTAATTCAAGCCCAATCTTGTAGAAAATCCTTTTATTTAATTATTACCATTTTTGTACTTAGGGACAATTATTTTGATGTTCTGTCTTCGCTAGTGGCGCGGCTTTTGACGGCTAAGTTCTGTGAATGGACCCTTTCTAAAATTACATGATTTCATAATTTAATTGCATAAATGATTAGCATGCCTACGGATTTATAATTTGATTTATGTGAAGCCTGTTGATTAAATATATTGATTATCGTCTCGTGTTTTGGTGAGGAAATAATTGTTGGCCTATATTGAGCTATATTTTAATATATCGTATTTTCTATAAAAATCATGAACTGGTAGACTATCTGATAGATGACGATAGGATGCTAGAACATGTTTTTGAACCCCTCTTTATAGTGTAAACGATGATCGGTAACCTATGCTATGAAGTGGTTATTTATGAGATGCGTAAATATTTGTGCGTACCTAGTAGACACTATGCCGCCTGGGGCGAGGAACTGGTGTTGGCATTTAGGCCGGGAGATATAATCCCTAGCTACGGGCTGAGGGACATGGAGCAGGTATTGGGTCGGGAGTTGGTAATCTCTGACTACGGGCGCAGAGACCACGGAGCAGGCATTGGGCCAGGAGTTATATTTATTCGGTGATCTTACTAGCAGCACACCGCGTTTACGAGACGATTTATGATGCGTTTACTGTTTTGATTTCCGCGATGAGTTTCCGCGATATGACTTTTGAGATATTTTTGGGCATGCTAGGATTTTCATTAAATCCATCATTTATTATGCTAGTAGTTTTCATTATATAGACTTTGGGGGTTAGTATGTTGATAACTGTTTTATTATTATTTTATATATGAACTTGGTCCACTCACCTTTGTTTTGCGCCCCCATTCAGGACTTAGAATCAAAGCGCCTAATCCCGGCATCAAGGCACTTCCGCAGCAGCATCTTCGAATCCTCTCGATGTAGGACCCACTCCTTTATTCATTAAATTTATCTTAATTCTTTTTAGTGATTAGGTTTAGTTGTATGCTCTGAGCACGTTCCTAAATTATTATCTCATTGTTTTTAAATTTATAACCCGTATTATTTCTTATTCTTAGCTCTTATAATCAATTAATGGCTTTCGTCACCTTGAGTGTCGGCCAGCACGTGTCTATCCTGATATTCGAATATCAGGGTCGGGGCGTGTCAAAGAAAACCTCGAAAAAGAGAAAAGCTTTCTAATGGGAACTGCATCGAATCAAGATAATCAAGACGGAGCACTTGAAATCATTGTCAGTGGTGAAAAGTATCGGTGTCTCAGGTTTGTAAAGGCAAAGAAATGAGGCATTTGAAAGGTGGGATAAAAAAAAAAAAAAAGCGTATAGCCTCTATTACATCTAATCTTTTTCTTGCTTAATTTTGCAAACTTCATTCTTTGTATGAATGCTCCAATTCTGTACATCCTGACATCCAATTGCAACAAGTTAGCGTTGTTATGATTGCTTCTTAATGTCAAACCCCTGATCTCCATACCTAATGAGCTGCATGATTGTTTAATTTATTCCTCTATAATTTGTTGTAACATGCTGCAGCCTACATCGTTTCTGATTAAGGTGGTTTAAGACAATCATTTTAATCAAAATTGTGTTCGCAAACATTGTTTCGATCCATTTTGATCTCAATCTTGGTTGTGTGATTTTGTTTATACTTGGTAAATGTCTCGGTTTGAACAAAAGATTTTATCATTTTGGTAAAAGTTCATTTTTGCATGATACAGAACCGAGCGCAATAGCGTTTTATAATTCATACAGCCGACCTCATTTAGTGAGAAAATGTTTTGTTGTTGTTGGTAAAAGTTCATTCTTGGATAATAAGAATATGAAGCTTGCGGTATGGACCTCGTAGAGTAAACACTTTCGGTTGCTTGGACACGATGAGATGGATCAATTGTAATGTGCTATGCTCCAGCTCGTGTTTGGTGAACGTATAATTGCAGGAACAGAAATTATTAAATTGGATTAACAACATATTGTCTTACAAGTCTCCTCTATGCGAATCTATAGGACTGTATTGGGCTGCAGACAAAAAAAACCCCTAGAATATAGGGAAAAACCAACTAAATCCACAGCATACCCACGTTCCTTGTTCTCCCCGAGATAATTTGCAGGTTGTCCACTGCAGTTTGGTTGTACTGTTTTTACAAGAGTTAGTGGGTGTGACAGTCGCATGTTAAGGAGAAAGGGTAGGTACCAATAACAACAAGCCGCCTAAGTATGGATTGATGGGAAGACAAGCCCATCTTGGTTTAAGGTAACCGTTTGATGGGTTAATGGGCCAATCAAACGGTCGACTAGTGATGTAGTGGGAGAGGGAGGGAGTTAACAACAGTTACTCTTCATCCAAAATCCCGCCCTTTTTAAATTACTTCGGAAGTTTTCTCCCACAAAACACTCACACTCCCAACTCACAACTGCAAATTAGCATAGTTCGAGTGAAAGAGAAGATCAATCGCTTCGTTCAGAAAAAAATGGGCAATTCGAGCCTCGAGTTCTTGGACGTCAGACTGCTCTGTTTGCTGTCCATGTTTTGCATGGCAAGTGGTTTCGGTAGAGGAGTCAAAGCAGAAGGAAGAAGCCTCTTGCAGCATCACAACAAGGCTAAGAGCTCTAATCTTTTCAACGTCAAGAGCTTCGGCGCCCGAGCAGACGGCCGAACTGATGACAGCAATGTTCGATCTAAGTTGCTTGACTTACTTCATAAAACCCTCTTTTAACTTTTCAGTTCACTTCGAGAATCGAAAAAACCCTCTTTTTTTTTTTATCGAACTTACTAGCTTCATATTTCGGCATTTGGGTTTGTTTGATGTAGACATTGTAGTTTTTAGCTCTGCAATTTTGTAATTTCAGGCATTCACAGCGGCATGGAAGGAGGCATGCCAGTCCACAGGTAGAGTCCACCTTATAATCCCGAAAGGAACTTACACGATCGGCCTTCTGAGATTCTCCGGCCCCTGCGTAAATGTTACGTCTCTGAATTTTCGTGTGAAGGCAAGAAGACTATTTTTCTATGATTTATGATCTCCATCTGCTACAGACTTTTTATATGATTATTACAATTTTTATGACTGATTTTTAGAGTTGAATTGCTAGCAGGGTTACTTGAAGGCTACAACTGACTTGCGCAAGTTTGGATCGGGGGGTGGTTGGATTGAATTCGCGTGGATGAAAGGGCTGACCTTGACCGGAGGTGGAACCTTTGATGGCCGAGGGGCTCACGCCTGGCCTCACAACAAGTGCATCACCAACTCCAACTGCAAACTTCTTCCAACTGTATGCTCTACAGCTTCCTCTCTGTCGTAAATTCTACATCAGTTTTATTTTAGCTAATTCAAAATCATTTTCTCTGTCTCAGAACTTGAAATTTGTGGCACTTAACAAGACAGTTATCCGTGGCTTAACTTCCGTGAACAGCAAGTTCTTTCACATAGCTCTTGTAGAATGTCACAATTTCAAAGGTAGCGGGCTCTAGATTTCAGCGCCGGAAACTAGCCCTAACACAGATGGAATCCACATCGAGCGAAGCTCTAGCGTCTACTTCTCTTCGTCGCGCATTGCTACTTGTGATGACTGCATCTCAGTTGGACAAGGAATTCAACAATCCCAGAGGTTTTTTGTTCATGGGTTTTTTTTTCCAGGAATTCAACAATCCCAGAGGTTGAAACACACCGAGAAGAAAAGTTCCAGATAGATCTGATGGTGAGCTTCATCAAATTCATTTTTTTTCCTTCATATTTTTCCCTTTTTAAAGGATAAATTAGTAATATTGGTTTTTTGGTTGTTGATGCCTATATAAATAGAGAGCTGCTAAACCTATCCCGTTGTCTTTTTTCCCCACCCACGTTATATTTACACCCACTATAAAAAGTTCAAAAATTAAAATGTGATTTTCCCACCCACCCTATATATAATTAGAGATAAATTTCTCTTAAAAAAGAATATAAACAAACCTTCTAAAAACTAGAGAAAAAAAAAGAAAAAAAAACCATGTTTCCTTTCCAAATTCCAATTTGAGTGTCCTTTTTTAGATGCATAGCAATTCGCATTGTCATTGACGTATAGTATTTTCTAGCTACTCAATATCAATTAATTTATCTGTCTGCTATTTTCAACTTTAACCATGTGGATGTTGTATGCTTCTAATAGATGTGGACATGGATGCTGTCAATGAAAGAATAGCTGCATTGAAGCCTGCTGGTGGGGTAAGTAAGAAATCCAAAGGGTGTTCAAGGTGGGCAAAAGAACACGCCACGGCAAGGGAGGAAAGGTGAAGAGATATATTTAACTCTTTGATAGAAGAACATAATGCCCAATTGTAGCCCAATATATAACATTATCCGTAAGGCTGTCTTGTATTCGGTTTTTCTATTATAGATATTTGAGAGTTATCTTCCGAAAATTGTAATCGAGTACATCATATATTAACTTTGGATTTAAACAGCTTTTATGGATGATCTTTTGTTGAAATTACCCTTCTTCCATAGAAACGTCATTTTCTAAGTTCATCCCTTTTGCTTTCTTTGAATGAAAGGAGATGGGAATGATGAGTTAGGGTTTAAGGGAGATAAATTTTCTAAACATAGCATGAGAGTTATCACTCCCAAACTGTTTTTTTCTTTTATATATAAAAAAAAATAATGCAAAAGGGGGTAACTAAGTCATTTTACAAATGGACAAATTTGTAATTAAAAAATTCATTAAAAGGTGAGTGAGAAAATAAAACACTGGGGTGGAAATAACACCACTCTATAAATATAGGCTCCTCCAGAAATGGATGAAGTTGATTTTATCCCCGTAGATCCTAAGGCTACGGTGGTAGATGCAAAAACGGTGAGTGGGGACCACCTCTTCATTTGCATATTATGGGTTTTGGTTTTTGAAGATTCTTTATTTAATGTGTGTAACTTTAGGTTAGCAGGAATTAAAAGCTGTAAGCAAAGAGGAAATTAGAATTAAACTACCCAATTTTTAATCAATAACTAATTTGTCTAATGAAAAATACCATCATGCATATTTTGGTTCCAGAGGCTCTTTTCTATTTATTTTTTTATTTCGTGGATTGTAAACATTAGAAAGCTAAGCCTCTGACAACAGCTTTCCTGAGACACGTTTTTGAGAAGGTAAAAAGAGAGAGATACTTTATGTTCTGTTTCTTTTGTGTGTTCTTTTAAAATTTAAGGATGTGTGAATTGCAAATGTCAATAATCATGCGGAATCAGGAAACATTACTCATCTAATTGTGGAATTTGGAATCTAATCTTGAGGTTGTAATTATGACAGTTAAAGTGAAACAAATGTGGTCCAACATTGATCCAAAACATAACTTGCTAGTTTACCACTTTTGTAATTTCGATAATCTTGCAAAGAATTTCTCTGAGATTTTTATAGTGCTTTCTTTTTTTGGTGGGTAAGAGAATGGAAGAGTGTATTCCATGTTACCAACTGTTCAACATAGTAATTAATACTCGTGCATATATTCGCCAGTGAAAGTACTTTCCATTTTTAACCTTATCCTTGGGTAGCAAATTTTGATGAATTTATGTTTTTTTCCTCCATTTTTCAGTGTTTTCTGGCAATTGGAGCTGAATATGGAGAAGGTTTTGAGAGTTTTGGACATGTTGGACCTCTCAAGGTTGATGTGGTGTAATTTATGGAGTTATATATATAGTAATCATTGTTTTTTATGCTTTGTCGAAATTAATTTACTGATTATGCTATGACCAAGGTATAAAATATCGATGATATCGGAAATATCGATAGAAATATCGGGATATTATCGATATCGATAAAAATAATATGGAAACCACGGAAATTGTAAGAAAAACTGGGAAATTTTTATTGAAACTTTGCAGGATGTTTATTTAGTCAATTATCTATTAGTTTATCACAAAAAATTGGAAGGAAATGCATTACATGATGGATTTAACTGATTTAAGTTGATTATATAGCGAGCTGGCAAACAATGTGAGTGTAGAAAATATGTAGTACTTAATAAAAGAAGTTTAAACACACCATAATCATTTATATATAATGAATTAGTATAATTTTACACTTTATACATTGCATGGTAAGATACATGAGTGACTTATTACCCTTTATTTATTTTTATTTAAGAATTATATGGTTGTAGGGGTTTTATTTAAAATTTATATTGAAGAAGCTCTTAAATTATGTAAAATTGTAATCGAAAACAATAATTTATAATTTATATACGATATATATATACACACACACAATATATATAAGATATATATATATATATATATATATATATTCCACTTTATAAATTGTCCACCTCACCTTGCTCTTTCCCATCACCCATCCACCTTGGGTGGTTTTCATGATTAAAACCATCTCAGAGTCCATGATTTTCAATTTTTAAACCATCCAAAAACGTCAACATCTGCTATATCTCATTACCCAATTTTTCAACTTGCACAACCACCGCATATTATTCACACTCTCTCTCTTCTGCTCTCACTCACTCTCTCTCTCTCTCTTCGCACTCTTTCATCTCCGCCTCCGCCTTCGCACTCTCTCATCTCTGCTCTCACTCACTCACTCTCTCTTTCCCTCTCTTCGCACTCTTTCATCTCCGCCTCCGCCTTCCTTACCGATCCCACACCGATGATAACCCCACCTCTGTCGTTGACTCCAGCGATGACCACCACGACCCCTAATCGCCCCCAAACCCCAACCTCAAACTCCACAACAACCACCCATTCTCCTCCTCCCCCCCCCCGAAGCTCACCCCGCCGGCGCCACGCTCACCTCCATCTCTGTTCCACGTCTGCCTCAACCAAGACCACGCCTGCTTCGCCGTGGGGACAAACCACGGGTTCCGGATCTACAACTGCGATCTGTTCCGCGAGCTCTTTCACCGCAACTTCGACAACGGTGGCGGAATCGGTGTCGTTGAGGCGTAGATCTTGGGTCTGAGCCTGGATTGCAGAGAGAGATCTGGGTAGTGCGACGACGCAGCCTCGGCTGCCTTTCCGATGACGGAGCCACGACGATTGTTTCGATAATATCGTGATATTTTGACGACAATTAGAGGGATACGTGGGAAAATATCGATCTCTTTGAAAAACGATAATATCGACGATATTTCACCGATATTATCGATATTTTAGTCATTGGCTATGACTTAGTACTGTTAATTTTTACTATGAGTAAGATTTTTTGGAAGACAAACCGCAATAAGATTTTCTTAAACGAATACGATATGTCGTCAAACTAGATGAAGCTTATGGTCTTATATTCTCTTTTGACAATGTTGTGGTAAGTTTCGATAACACTCATTAGTTATGTGTTTCAAGTTTTGATGGCTAGAAATGAAAATGTAATGAACTGTGGAACATTGTATTTATGATATCTTACTGATCAAGAAAAAGATTTAAATGTGCAATTATTAAAAGAGATCTAATTGCGTAACAATCACTTTTTCCGGCAAGGGTTTTCGATTTCCGACGACTCTATTCTCATTTTCATTTTTTTTGAGTTGCATGTAATAATTTATGGTCAATGTGATCCCATATCTATTTAATTAATTATATTCTTAAATCATGTAGGAAGACTAGCAAGTAGCAATGATGCTGCTTTCTAAATAGTTACTCTTCTTATCGCAGACCAAACCATTGAGATAATAACACTGCATGTAACATTCTTTCGAAGGAATCCATATGTCGATATTGGTAAGTATCGTTTTTCTATTTGTCCTTTATGATATATTTGTTCACATTGTGGTATTTTGACCAACATTTTGTTATTATAAAGGAATTAGCTTCATTTTTCACAACTTAATATTTCCAATTTGGTGGATGTACTTTATTAAGACATTTGAACACGGTTGACCATCTATGCACAGTTTTCAAATTATAGTTTTTGTTTTGGGATTTCTTTATCCAACCCCTTGGGACTTCGTGTGTAAAATTTAGTGTTCCTCCCTTTTGGCTGATAGAATTAGGCTCAAGCTTTATTGCCTTCAGATTATATTTAGTCATGTTAGAAGTTAAATTGCAAAGATAGATGATAAATTGTACTTAATATTTTGTTTGTTTTCTTTGGTTTAGGTGGTTTGAACTAAAAGAAACTAAGAAATGAATGATGCACAGTCGCAATGATATGGAACGCTTACATTTCAATGTCAGCTATACAACTTTTGCCACCCCAATTGATCGACGGGTATATAACTTTCTGTTTACACCCTACCAAATAGTGTGTTCTCCTATTTTTCATCCAGCTTTTGTCTAATATACATTTGTCATTTTCAATCTTTGTTATACATTTAAGGTAGTGAGACAAAACTAATCAAAGAGGCAAACGCACAAAAGTTGATGAGGTGCTATAAAATTGCTGAAAAGGTAACCATACTATATTCTTATTTTCTTTACAGTATAATTCCATTGTCATATAAATTAATTTCACGTGTTACAATATTTTCTTTCGTTGCCCAGGGTGCTTTCTTAACAATCAACAGTACTGGAGAAAAACTTTGAGCATTGCAGTAAACAATATTTGTCGTATTTTATCATTCTAGATAAAGTAATAAAACTTCTACAAGTTTTGGTGTCTGTTGCATAGATTAAATCTTTCATGGTATAGACTTTACATCTTTGAAACATAATCTTTCTTACAAGTTTTAATCTCGCAGCAACGTGCGGGGAGAACTTTTATCACGCCCCGATCCCCACATACGTCCAGGATCGACACGTGACGTCACCAAATACCTGTATCTAACATATCCTGCCTCCGAGATATGTACAAAGCATAGATCAAGATTCGAATTTCATAACATTTTTCGTACATTTTATGGCTGCATCTAACTTTCTCGTTAGATTGCCTACGTACCCTAAATAAGGATCAAGCCAATTGTAGTTCATCATTCACTACACGCGAACAATCATCACATAATTCACTTTATTTTCAACATGACACCTACATCCACAACATGTGACATATCAAATAACCAACGAAGCACATCATTATTCTCAAATCACATTGATCAACTAAAATACTCATAATATTAATAATCATATCCAACGCCATTCCACATTCCCGTCAATTAATCAATTCATGAATCAAAGATGCATGATCTTAGCATTTAACTACGTTAATCAATCAATACGAAAATATATCATTTCACGAATTTAATTAAGGAACTCTACATAATTCCCTACTTGAATTATAAGTAAATAAACATGGTGAACCTAATTAATATTCACAAGGTCCTTTCAGGGTAATTCTCATTCACTCGAATCTAGGGTTCGAGACTAACCTTATGGAAATGAACAAGAACAAGGATTCCGGACCACTAAATGGAATCCAAAATATCTAGTGGTTAATCTACCCGAATCTAGCACATGTATAATCAGTGCCTACAACATGGGAATGGTGCACTGGCCATCCAGATCTCGGATAAACTGCGAAGCTATGGCGAGTGACAAAAATACAAGTATGTGATATTCATTAAAAAGAAAGACCATCGATCACCATTTATAAACCTCGGATATAAAATCATATTTTTATGAAATCATAATCAAATCTCTGAAATCTCCGAAGGAATCACCCAGACATCCAACGGTTTTTCTAATTCAACCACAAGATTCTCAAACCATCGTTCATAAATATATAAAAAAACTAGGGCTAGAGGGACGCCAGTTCGGCCGAAGCCTACATAAGTAAGCAAACAGGAAGTGGCCCCCTATTGTGGATTAATTAGGCCTGACAATTCCTAACACGACCCAATAACCCGACACGACACGACATGAAATTAACAGGTGATTGGGTCGACACGATAACGAATCGGGTCGTTATCGGGTAACCCGATAAGCACCTGTTAAGATAACGGGTTGATTCGGGTATACACGTGGGTAACACGATACACGATAAACAGAATATTAATTTTATAATTTTATAACCCTAAAAAAATACTGTAACAATTATATATATTAATTTAACAATTTTATACCCCTAAAAACTATAATATATATATATATATATATATATTAAATTAACTATAATAATTATACCCCCAAAATATTAACTATCTATAATAATTATAATTATATATATATATATATATATATTAAATTTTGAATTAAATTTTATAAAAACTATAATAATTATTAATTAATATGCATCCATTGATTTGATTCCATAATTGATAATACCAATTTCCATTCCATTCCCTGCAATGCCGCCCTTTTTGAAGAAAAAGGGAGGGAAAATGAAAATGATAAGAAAAGTTGAAAAGGAAACAAAAAATAGAGGGAATTAGGGAAAGATGGGTAGGTTGCCGGAGGGAAAAGTGAAAATTATAAGAAAAGTTGAAAAGGAAACAAAAAAGAGAGGGAAAAATGAAAATTAATAGAAGTGGTGAGATTTTTTTTTTTTTTTAGGTTATTAACTTTTTATCACACATATGACATATCCCACTATTTTTATAATGACACGTGATGTACTACTCCGTGTACCGGTCAATTATACGTACAAAATAAATAGATTTAAATCTACTTAATAAATATATATATACACCATTGAACTTGATGGGATACGAATTCTCCGAAACTAATTTCAACGATCCCAACCGTCAAACTTGTTTGTATATGCTTCGAGATCACATCAGCAAAA